TCCGTGCCCTCTGTCTGCAATGCTCAGCCTTCCCCAGACATCTGCAAGGCTCCTTCCCTCACTTCAGGTTTCCACCCCAACACCGCCTCTCAGAGAGGCCTTTTCTGAAGTGGTGAGCACCACCCCGCAGTGCAGTTGCTCGTGCCTTTGCAGGCAGCATCGCCCCTGCTGGAATGTTAGTCCCTCCAAGCAGGTTGGCTTGTTTGACTGCTGTGTTCCTGGCAGCTGGTGCCAAGCCTAACAAGAGCAGCCTAGCTCAGAAGGGTTCGTTGAGTAAGTGAATGAGTGAACCAACAAACTCCAGACAGAAGGTTAGTTCTGGAGTGGCAGGACTGTGTCTGTCTCACCTGTCGCTCTACCCCAGGTATGGAGCGTGGCATGTAGCCTACAGTGGGTGCTTAGTGAACACTTGTTGAATGATGTGCATAGGTGGAAGGAAGCAGGCAGGGGACACATGGTAGCCTGGGGTGGCCACAGTGTCCTGATTCCTGCTCACCACCCAGGTTCCGGATGAAATGCCACCTCTGCATCAACTACATCGAGATGCAGACGGACCCGGCCAATTGTGACTATGTGATCGTGAGCGGCGCCCAGCGCAAAGAGGAGCGCTGGGACATGGCGGACAACGAGCAGGTGCTGACGACAGGTGAGCTCCATGGACAGCCCCAAAGCCATCCCTGACCCCGACCCCGAGCCTGAGCCAGGTCCCGGAAGGCTCAGCCATACTCTCCCCCTTGCAGAGCATGAGAAGAAGCAGAAGCTGGAGACAGATGCCATGTTCCGCCTGGAGCACGGTGAGGCTGACCGAAGCACACTCAAGAAGGCCCTCCCCACCCTGAGCCACATCCAGGAGGCACAGAGCGCCTGGAAGGACGACTTCGCCCTCAACAGCATGCTGCGGAAAAGGTTCCGGGTGAGTGGGCTGCAGCCCCGGGCTGGGACCACAGGCGGGCGGGGGGCACCTGGCTTCGCCAGCCTGGCAGGTCAAGACCCATGTCCAGCCCGAGCCTCACCGCATCCTAGCTATAGGCGTGTCACCTCACCCGCTGAGCCCAGGTTTCTCCATCTGCATCATGGGGATCTCAGCGCCCATGGGAGGCACCTAGCCCAACGGCTATTATTAAGCACGTAGCACCTTCCTTTGGGAGGGGTCCAGGCTTCACCTTCCTAAGATCTCAAAGGGAAAATGGGCTTCAAGCCAGGACGTGGGTGAAGCCCGAGTGCGTCGGCCCGAGGCCCAGCAGGGCACTGACCCCCTGGTCAATTCCTGACACGCATTTCATGGGCCCACTCAGCTGTCCCAAAATGAAATCTGTAGATTATCAGCCTGCCCCCAAATAATTTACAAAATCATCCCTGCCATGCCGTCTGTGATAGAAAAAAGAGAAAATAATTGATAACAAGATAGTGAGGATTTCAGTGTGGGCACGCTTGGGCAAGACATCTGTGCCTGCGTGGAGAGTCACTGAGGGCACAGGTACAAATGCCAGCTCTTACCCCCTGCCAGTCGGTCCTGGCTTGAGGACACCCCGGGGGCATGGCTGGCAGTGACCACAACGGCTGAAGTTGTGCCAAAAACACTTGGTGGAGCTCTGTCACAGGGAGGCGGGGCTCAGGCGAGTGTGATGGAAATGGGGTTTCACCCTCGCGGTGTCCGGCGGGGCACTGGGAGGACCTCCTCCCCTTTCCCTCCTGGGGGGACTGCGGCCCTGGACGCTGCAGGTGGAGCCCGGCAGGAGTGTTCAGGCAGACCCCGCAGGCCACTAGTTCCCTCGCCATCCTAGAGCTCCCATCTCTTCCTGTCCCCTTTCTGATCATTGTGTGGTCAGTATTATTAGGAGTAAAATTACTAGTTTTCTTACTAATTATTTGTTACTGAAAGTGTATCCCTTGAGCCAGGCCTGTGCCTTGAGCTATGTGTTGCCTGCCTTCTGGGCTTCTACATGGTGGGAGGAGAGGGTTAAGGACCCTCAAACATAATATCCCAATGAGCGCACGTCATACCTCAGTCCCTAACCTGCCCTGCCCACTTCCTCCCTTCTCTGTAAAGAAGGCATCTGCCCTAGGCACTGAGTCCCTGGAGCCTAGAGTTGCTCTTGACACCCCCTCCCCACCTCCAGTTAGCAATTCTGTCAGCCTGTACCTTCCAATAACATCCAGTCTCTGGCTACTTCCACCGCCCCCATTGTCTCCTACCTGGACCAGCAGTCCTGCCCCCGTCTCCAGGCTCCCGCCCTCCCACCCCCAACAGTCCGTTCCCCAACCCCCCACAGCCACCAGGGGACACTTACAAACACCTGAGTCAGTCACTCCCTCCTGTGTTCAGAACGCTCCATGGCTCCCACTTAAAGTAGAAGCCGAGGTCCTCCTGTGGCCTACCAGGGCTGAATGATCTGCCTCTTCTTCTCCCAACCCATCTCCACCTTCCCCGCCCATGCTGCTCCGCCCACATTCGCCTCACTCTTCCTCAGCGGCTCCACGCATACTTCTGTCTCGCTCAGGGCCTTTGCACAGGCTGTTCCCTCCACCTTGGAACAGTCTTCCACCAGGTAGATACGCACCCGGCTTCCTCACTCAGAGGATGTCTTTCTCAAACATGATCTTCTCAGGGAGACAGTCCCTGACCCTCGCTGTCTCCCCTTATCACATTTACAGTTGAACCCCCTGCCCGCTGCCTGTGCCCCTCGCGGCATTCTTCTCCCCCCCACCACTGCTGTCTCTCTCACCCACTAGAATGTCAGTTCCACAAGGGCAAGGGTTTTTGTCTGCTCTCTGCTCTGTCCCCAGTGTCCAGAGTAAGGCCTGAGACAAGACAGGCATTCTATAAATATTTGCGGAATGAATGAATGGAAGACTGAAAGGTACATGTATTAATGACAATCGCACCTCTCATTTGTTAAGTGGCTTTTATGCCCCAGCCATAGTGTGAGGCTTTCTCCTGCTCCGAGCTCAAGGAGGAGGAAGCTGAGACCCAGAGATCTGGAGCGATGCCCCCGAGTCAGCAGGCACTGAAGATGCAGGACTTTCACACCCACATCCCTTCTCCCAACAGGAAAAGAAGAAAGCCCTGCAGGAAGAGGAAGAGAGGGACCAGGCACTGCAGGCTAAGGCGAGCCTGGCCATCCCACTGGTGCCTGAGACGGAGGACGACCGCAGGCTGGCCGCCTTGCTCAAGTTCCATACCCTGGACTGTGCGTGGGGGCCAGAGGGCACAGGGGTTGGGGTGGGGAGAGATGGGGGTCTCGGCTGTGAGTGGGCCATGGCAGACCCAGGCAGAGGGTGGCTCTAGACCCCCTTCTCTCCCTCCCCCCCAGCGTATGAGGACAAGCAGAAACTCAAGCGGACAGAGATCATCAGCCGCTCCTGGTTTCCATCGGCCTCAGGACCCGGCGGCAGCAGCAAAGCTGGTGGCGTCCTGAAGAAGCTGGCTCAGAACCGCAGATCTGTACCCGCCGGATCTCCCATCACCGTGGGGGACCTGGGTATTGTGCGAAGGCAGCCCCGGGAGATCTCAGAGAGCCCCCAGCACCTGGCTGAGACCTCCAGGTTTGGGGAGCCGCCGGTGTCAGCGGGCACCACCCAGGACAGGCTCGTATCCCCCCAAGACTGCTCCCAGGAGACAGTTAAGACCCCCAGTACAAGGGGGCCTCAGGGGCAGGATGGGAGCTGTCAGGACAGGCCCAGGTCCTCCTCAGGCTCCTCCCAGGAGGCACCCATCCCCCAGGACATGCCACACCCCTGCCTCAGCTCCTCCCTTGTGGCTGACTACTCAGACTCAGAGAGTGAGTGATTCTGGGGACTGGACCGCCAGAGGCCAAGGAAAACCCAGGAAGCCCCTCACAGGCTGCAGCCCCTCTGGACCACAAGCCCTCCAAGAGCTCACATGTCACCCCCTCCCCAGACCGCGCCTCCCCACAGTGATGGAATTGTTATTTATTTGGTCCTGGAGAGGGTGTGTGTGCCTTGTGGGACAACCCCCCCGCCCCGCTCCCCCGACATTAAAGCTCTGCTTCTTTGCCCCTGCTGTGGGTTACTAGTTGGGCCTGGGAGCTGCCTCTCCCCCACCCTGCCATCCAACCAAGCTTGACAGGCCTCACAGCAGTGGTGAACTACAGCTGTGCCCACAGCCATGGTCTCACCAAGCATAATGAGGGTTTCATGGTAGTGGCTCAGGTTGGCCTACAATCAGGACAGACATTCCCGTGGAAATGACACAGGCTGAGTGTGAAGGGTGGGAAGGGGACCAGGCAGGAGGAACCGTGCCGGGAGGCCAGGGCTGGGAGGCGCATAGTGTACCCACGCAGGTGTGAGCTGTTCATTGTTCCCAGCTCATGGGACACTTTTACAAGGGTCACTAAAAAGGCCCCAGCATGCTACTGCCTTTTGAAGGAAACTGCTAAAACTGAGCAAAAAATAGCTCAAAACAGCTGCACATACACCAGGTGACTCATGGCCTGCCACCTTCCCCTTAAGCCTTGGAAGGTCATTTCACAAATACTGGTGGTGGAGTACCAGCAATGTGCCAGGCACTGTTTGTTCTAGCCACAGGGAATACAGCGGTGAACAAAACAAACCCTTTGGGGCTGAGGTTCTGGCTGAATTCGTAATCGGGACATGGTGGTCCCTGCAGCCCACCAGCCCTGCTCCACAAGGGGGTGGTAAAGTGTCAGGGCAGCAGTACAAGCTAGTCAGTTCCTGGAATCTTCAATCAGGACCAGCCTTTACCTGAAGCCACCGTCAGCACTCGCCCTGGCTGGAGAAGTCAGGCACCTGGGATGCGGGGGTCATGGTATGAACCCCTTAACTGATCAGCGGGGAGCTAAACAGGGCCTGGCATCCAGGAGGTGCCCGGTAAATGGTGACACCTTTGTGCTTCCGAGGGGGAGGCTACCTGGCGCAGCTTGGCTGAGAATGCGGGGTGGAATTGGTGTAGTGGGCCGTGAGTCCCGGGAACCTGCTATGTTAGTGTGCGCGTGCGCGTCGTGGGGCGGGGCGGGGCTGGGGGAGGTTCCGCCCCACGTGCGCGCGGCCCGCCGAGACTAGGAGCCGTGGGGAGTGCGCTGGCTGCACCATGCCTCCTTTGGAGGCTATCCGGTACACCCGGGGTTCTCTGCAGATCCTCGACCAGCTGCTGCTGCCCCAGCAATGCCACTACGAGGGGGTGGCCTCGGTGCGCCAGGCCTGGGAGGCCATCCACGCCATGAAGGTGGGGCGCCGCGGCAGGGCTGGGAGTGGAGTTTGCCCGCGCCTAGCGCCCCTGACGCCCGCCTCACTCTCCTCCAGGTGCGCGGCGCTCCCGCAATTGCCCTCGTGGGCTGCCTCAGCCTGGCAGTGGAGCTGCAGGCCGGCGCCGGGGGTCCGGGACTCGCCGCGCTCGTGGCCTTCGTGCGCGACGCGCTGAGCTTTTTGGTCACCGCCCGACCCACTGCCGTCAACATGGCCCGCGCTGCCCGCGACCTGGCCGACGTCGCTGCCCAGGAAGCGGAGCAGGAGGGTGCCACAGAGGAGGCAGTCCGGGAGAGGTAGGAGGAATTGTGCCAGATACTGTCCTGAGCAGAAACTAACCCATTTTCCAGATGGGAAACAGACACAGCGCGCTTAGTACAAAACCACTCAGGCAGGCCTGGGAGTTAATCCCAGGCAGCCTGGCCCGGAGGTCCTTAATTCTTTTTCCACAGACTGTGCCTCCCCCGACTTGCCCAGCTCCCCCGTCCTTGGAGATCCTTTACTGCGCCACCTCCTTCTCCTGGTTTTTGCCTTTAAGCAATTTTGCTTTTTGTACTGATCCCCCGCCCCTGCTCTCTTTTTTCCCTTACTCTCCCCCTCCACTTCAGTTAAAACATTCTCTTGATGTTCCCTGAGCCTGCCAGGCTTGCTTCTGCCCCAGGGCCTTTGCACAGACCACTCCTGCAGGTCAAGTGTCTACAGAGCAGATACCCACCTTCAGGTTTAAGGTGTCTGCCTTTCCCCACCTTCCAAATGTTACAGTGTATTCCACCCCACCCTACCCCCTTCCCACCCATCCCGCCCCCACTCTGTGCCTTTTCCTTCACTCACTGTATTATCAATATTTACTCATCGTTTGCCTCTCCCACTCCACTGTCAGCTCCATACGAGCACAGATATTTGTCTTGGTCACTGCTGTGCCCCACAGGAGATGCTTGGTTAACAAGTGTTATGAGCAAATGGAGTGACAGGTGGCAAAGGCAGAAGGGCCCAGGCCTCACAGCTGTGAGAGGCTTTCAGCAAGAGAGTTGGGCAGGAAGGAGGGGTCAGCTCAGGCCCTGAGGCTGAGAGCCCCCTGTTGGCCCCAGAGTGATCTGCTATGCTGAGGACATGCTGGAGAAGGACCTCAGGGACAATCGGAGAATTGGGGACCTGGGAGCTCACCACCTCCTGGAGCGGGCAGCCCCAGAGGGCAGCAAGGTGACCGTGCTGACCCACTGTAACACCGGTGCATTGGCCACTGCTGGCTACGGCACAGCCCTGGGTGAGTGAGAGGGTGTCCGTGGGGATGGGAGAGGGCCTCTTTTGGATGCAAGAGAGAGAAACCCAAACCACTTTTCCCACCCCCCCAAAATGGAGATTGATTAGTTCTTACACAGAAATGCTCAGGAGGTTGGCTTTAAGTATGGCTGGATCCCGGGGTTCAGACAGTAGCATCAGGACCCATCTACTCCTGTCCCTAAGCTCTGCACTCCTGCTCACGCTCCGAGGGTCAGCAGACAGCCTGCCAATGTTCAGATCAGGCAGAAGGCCTTGATGCCAACAGTGCCAGAAAAGTCTCCTTCTCTCTCAGGGGTTCTGATGGGGTCACCTGCCTATCCAAGATCAACCACTTGACATACCTGGCCTGTGTGGGCAGGATGTGGATTTCAAGAGAACTGAGGGGAAGGGTGTGGCCCACAAGGAAAGATTGGGGTAGCTGTGACCTGAAGCAGGGAAACTGGATCCTGGGGTTCAAGGCAGCAGATTCCCTAATTTCTCCATATTTCCCTACTTGCCTGGGTCCCGTTCTAGAAACTTGGGACTGAGGCCCTCATGGCAAGATATCATTCATTAATCTGCTTAACAAATATTGGCACCTAATGTGTGCCCTACCATTCATGCATGAATGCTTCCTTCATTCACTCAGCATTTATTAAGCAACTAATGTGTGCGCCACCATTCATGCATGCATTCCTTCATTTACTTACCATTTATTAAGCACCTACTGTGTGCCCCATCATTCGTTCATGCATGCGTTCTTTCATTCACTTATTAAACATCTGCTGTGTGCCCCATCGGTCATGTATGCATGCACGCCTTCATTCACTCAACAGACATTTATTAAGCACCTGCTGTTTGGCAGGCACAGTTGTAGGTGCCGGGGAGCCAGCCGTGAACAAAGTAAACAAAATTGCGGCCATCAGGACAGGAAAGTAGGAGGAACAGACAGAAGCAAGTTAATAAATATGTATGATGTGTTCAAAGGTGATAAGAGCTGAGGAAGAAAATCAGGAAAAGAGGTCAGAGGTGCAGGGGTCGCTACATGAGATAGAGGGATCAGAGAGGGACTCACTGAGAATGTTCTCTAAGCACACGTTTACCCAACAGAGGGAACACCTACTACAAGGGCGTGGAGAAGGGGAGCCTTTGGAGACTGGTGTCCCCAAATAATGGGCCACTCTGCCCGTATGTCCCTTTCTGTCTCATCCTGGCTTTCTGGTGGGTCAATCCCTGCAGGTGTGATTCGCTCGCTGCACAACCTTGGCCGCCTGAAACATGTTTTCTGCACAGAGACTCGGCCCTACAACCAGGGGGCCCGGCTGACAGCCTTCGAGCTGGTCTATGAGCAGATTCCTGCCACCCTCATCGCTGACAGCATGGCAGCAGCCGCCATGGCCCACCGAGACGTGTCAGGTCAGCAGGCGGGGTGCCAGCTGGCTGGGTTCCAGGCGTCCAGGGCTAGGTGATAACCCTAACATCTTGCTTTCAGCTGTCATCGTGGGAGCTGACCGTGTGGTTGCCAACGGTGACACAGCCAACAAGGTGGGCACCTATCAACTGGCCATCGCTGCCAAGCACCATGGCATCCCCTTCTATGTAGCTGCCCCCAGCTCCTCATGCGACCTTGGTCTGGAGACAGGCCAGCAGATTGTCATTGAGGAGCGCGCAGGCCGGGAGCTGACCGATGTCAACGGGGTCAGGATTGCAGCACCAGGTAAGCCATCATTTGGGGGTGCGTCATAGAATCTGGGCTCCTCCGGTTATGTACCCCAGCGCCTTCACAGGAGGCAGGTGGCATTTGGGGTGTCACCAACCTTCTAGGGCACAGGCAATTTCAAATTCAAGCCAATATTTGGAACAAAAACATCTTGGAAGTTAAATCCAAGGTGAGATTGTCCAACTCACGAGTTGAGAAACCTTGAGTAGGTTGTCTTGCCATTCTCCACTTCGGTTTTCTCACCTGAAGGACAAGTAAGGACAAGTTCAACCAAGTGCCTCTGAAGGGACACAGATATTTCTCAGCTTCCCCATGCTTCCTGGCTATGCAGCTGTGGGCAGTTTGCCCAAGCTCTCATCCCGAAGAGCCTCGGTGTTTCTATCTGTAAAATGAGTTGTTGTTATGACCGACCTCGTAAACCCCAGGGCCGTCAGGGAATTGACCCAAGTGACATGGAGAATAGGCCCAGCCCTTCATTAGTGCTCATTAAGTATCAACAATTATGATTGAAACCCTTTTATAAAAAGGACCAGTTAAAACCCCTAAACATTATAAATATGGGAACACCACTAAATATGGAGTTAGGATAAAAATAACACTATACAACTAAGCAGAGAGAAGTCCTAATATTCTCTTATTTTCTGCTGCACGTCCCTATAGTTTTCTAAAAGCAGGTACATTGATTGTGATTTTTTCCATCTTTATTATTTATTTTTTTAGTGCTTCTGCTTTCCTAGAGGTGTACTTAGCACTGATCATAACCCATAAGACCATGGAAGGCAGAGGCGACAACCCACACCCACTAAAATTAAACAGGGGCAGCAAGACATGAGTGACATGAGCCAGGTGCTGTCTGTAGGCCCTGGTGCTCTGCTCCCACCAGTGATCACCGGAATGCAGACCCAGAGGACTGGGTCTTCTAATATTTCCAAAAGAAGCTTTACATTTTTTATATATGAAATCTCCCACCTTTTGAAAGCTGGCCTTAAAAACTGTGAGCCTAAGAAAAAAGTTAACAGGCCACCAATTTGCAGCCTCTTGTATAGCAAGTTGTGATCTATATTAACTAATTCAATTCAGCAAATGTTTTTGAGTGCCTCGCTAATGCTGAGCGCTGGGATATAGGAGTGAAAAAAGACACAAAAGTCACTGCCCTCTGAGAGCTGACAGTTTGGTCAGGGAGACAAACAATGAACACAAACAGGAGGTAAGGGCTGAGGAGAAATAAACAAGGCAAGTAAGTGTCTGTACAGGGCCTTTAGACAGGATGATCAGAGGCGTCCTCGCTGATCATTTGAGCAAAGACCTGAAGGAAATGAAACATTGGGTCATTTAGGCAGAGGGCAGAGCCCATACAAAGGCCCTACAGTGGATTCTTGGAGGTTCTTAAAGGGATCCAGGCAAAAGTGGGGTGGTTGTATATAAGCTTTGGAAACCTTGTTCTTGGACAGTGACCATTCAGGAATAGTTTCGTGAGGCATATAAACTTGTTACTGGGTGGGAAAGCCCATGCCTTCATGTGCTTTTGGGGTGCTATCCCCAGATTTTCGAGGATTACCTAACTCCAAGAACCACCATGGGGCAAAAAGCTTGAGAACTTCCACAGAGCCAAATACCTGCCTTCTTGTCTCCCCACTCTCTCCTTGTAGGAATTGAGGTTTGGAATCCTGCCTTCGATGTCACCCCCCATGACCTCATCACTGGCGGCATCATTACAGAGCTGGGCGTCTTTGCCCCCAGAGAGCTCCGGACAGCCCTAAGCACCACCATCTCCTGAGGGTGGAGAACCTAGATGAACCCCAGAAGTAACCAACCTGGATCTCCATGCCCATAAAACTCCCTGATGGCCTGCCCCAAAGCTGACCGTCTTCCCCTAACCACAGTTTTTGCTAGAGCAGGGATAGTGGACAGGGCCTTGGCTTGGCTCTTAAAAGCCCAGCAGCTGGAGCTAGGGTATCCAAGTTCATATCCCATCTCTGCCACTTTTTCTGCTGTGGATCTTGGCCAAATCATTTCACCCCTCCCTGCTCTGGTTTCCTCGTTTATAATGTGGATAATACTAGTACCGCCCTCTTAGGTTGCTCTCAGGACTGGAACTACAGTGGCACCTCAGGTGCAAAATTTTAAAGGAGATACCAAAAGGCTCAGTAACCAAGATAGAGAATAGTTTCATGCAGTATTATTAAAAATCAAAATTAGTGCAAAAACAAATCCATGAAGAACAAAATACCAAGATGAATGAGAGAATGGAACCCTGTATTTGCATACCTTGACCTTACCTCACTTCTGATACGAGTCCTTGTTCCAATTAAACTTCATTTACAACATCAGGATACCAGTGTACAGGCAGCAGTTTCACAACTTTTTTTAAAATAGTAATTTTTTTCCTTTTTATTGAATTTTTGGGGGTGACTATAAAATTATACAGGTTTCAGGTGCTTGATTCCACAACACATCATCTGTATACTGTACTGTGTGTTCACCACGCCAAGTCTCCTTCCATTACCACTTATCCCCCCAAAACCACCTTCACCTCCCCCCGCTAATATATTATTTTTAAATGTTGAGCCCAGGTCGGGTAGCCCTGTTGGTTGGACTAGGGTTGCAAGTTCAATCCCTGGTCAGGGCACATACAAAACTCAACCAGTAAGTGCATCAGTGATCAAGCAAGAAAAATCGATGTTTCTCTCTTTCTCTCTCATCAATAAATAAAAATGTAAAAAGTAAATGTTGGAAACTATCTTGATTACTTGATTACAAGGGAACTTTAGGCACCCTTAGGTTTTGCACCAGTAAGTACCTAACTCGCCTCATTTTTGTCCTAGATTGAATTTTATATATAAAGAGCATAAAAGCATACGTTTTACAAAGGAAAGGAATGCCTAGTAAATGCTAGCTTATCGGTAGCTTAACATTTTTGCCAAACGCCATCTATAATGGACCACCTTCGCTCGGACCTCTGTTTAAAAACTGCCACGTTGTTTCCTGGGAGCTCCTGAGCCCCACCGGCCCTGCGGTATCCCATCATGCCCTGCGTCTTGGGTTACATTACTCAGCCCCACCTCTTCCGGCGCACGCTCGATCATGGCGCAGGGGCAACGTAAGTTCCAGGCGCAGAAGCCGGCCAAGAGCAAGGCGGTGGCGGCGGCCTCACAGCGGAACCGAGGCCCGAGGAAGGGAGGTGAGGAGCCATCCGGGGGCTGCTAGGCGAGAGGGGCCCGGGGCTTCCTGGCCTCACGCGAGCGCCTCTTTCCCCAGGTCGTGTTATCGCTCCCAAGAAGGCGCGCATTGTACAGCAGCAAAAGGTCAAGAAGGTGAGTGGGGCATGCGAGGCTCGAGGGATGGAGCTTGGAGACCAGCGCGGAGGATCAGATAGGGAGTTTGACGCCAGCGGGGAACCGGGGATTGAGCCTGGAACCGGCGGAGGCGCCAGGAATGAGCCTGGAGGAGGCCCGGGGGCGAGGGGTAGAGCCTAGAGAGGTCTGTAGAGGGGTCCAGGGATGCAGTCTGGAACCAGGGAGGGCCGGGTACCAGAACATCACCTACTGTTCAGCAGGCGTCCTAGAAGCAAGGCCTGGCTTGCAAAAAGGATTGTACACGTGTTAGCTGCCTTGGTTGTTACTGTTCTCTTTAATAGAACGCGGGGGCGGCGGGTGGCATTGGAAAGGAGTTGAAGCTCCAGCTTTGCAAGAAGGCAGTGGTGGGTGCAAATCACAGCTCCATGGATGACTGGTATTTGTTCACCCTGAGCCTCTTACCTGTGAAACATAGTGATAGCACCTTTCTCCTAGAGTTGTAAAGATTCGATGTCATGGGGCCCCTGTAAAGCGCCAAGAACAGCACAGGCACAAATAAACGTTAGTTTCGTTGGTTATTGTCATCTTTGTGGTTGTCTTTAAGTGCAGCTTTTTTACATAGGTGGGTAGGGTTGATCTTATGAATAAGTTACAGAAAATTAAAACGTTTTCGTGGAGTCACAGCTGAGTTCCAATTGTATTCCACAGTAACTAGTGTGTAATCTTGAGCAAATTGTTTAGTTTCCCTGCAACCGCAGTTTCTGAGACCTGGGTACGCAGCAGCCTGCTTAGATCCATCTCGTGGCAGGAGGGGGGCTGTCTAATGAGCATCCACACTCAGCATGACCAAAACCAAGCTCCAGATCCTCCCCTCTCCCTCCCTGAGAAGATCGTGCCACTCTTCATTCAGGAAAATTCTGACCTTCCAAATTTCCAAATATTCAGGGTCTTCTTGGAACTCCCTCACCCCTACCCCCATTCTCACATCCAGGTCAGATTCCATCTTTTTTGCCTTTAAGATTAATCCAGAATCCACCTATTTCCCACCTCCCTGATCCCCCTCCCCTGGTCCCCCCTGTTTTCTTCCGCCTGGACCAGTACAGTCACTCCTCCCAGATCTGCCTCCCCGGTGCCATAGTAGCCAGAGGGCACCTGTGAGCACTTAAAGTCGGATCTTGGGCCTTCTCTGCTCAGAACCGGCTGGCTTCCACTGTACTCAGGAAAAATCAAGCCCTGTGCACTCTGCCCCGGTCACCTCCCACTCTCCCCCTTGCTCCCTCCACTCTCCCTGGCCCCTTAACTGCTTCTTGTTCCACATCAACTTAGCACTGGCTGGTTCCCCGCACCAATTAGAAATCCACATGGGCTCCCTTCCTCCGAGTCGCCTGACTGCAGGTGTTGCTTCGGAGGGGCCTGTCCCAGATGGCAGCTCCAGAGCCCCGCCCCTCACTCACTAGCCCTTGTTTTCTTTTCTCCATGATGCTGCTTACCATTTACTGTCATTTAACAGTTTAACATAATGTATTATTGTCATTTATATTGTCCCCACACATGCAGTGAATGTCAGCTCCATGAGGGCAGAGATTCTTCTGTGTTTTGTTTGCCATTGTGTCCCCTGTGCCCAAGCACGTGGTGATAGTTGTGGTGGTCATGGCCATCGGAGCTCATATAGACAGAGCAAGAGTGTGGTTTGGGGAATATGATTAAGCTACCAGTTTTGGACCCAGACACGCTTGGTTTCTAATTCCTGTGCTTTTAGATGCTCATATCCCTTTTTCAGAGCCCCAGTTCACCATGTACAAAGCAGAGATGACATGGGACAGGAGGAACCACCCACCTGGGGGTTTAGATGAGAGGCTCTGGGCATGCCAGGATCCAATCTCCTCTCACTCTCATGGTTTGCAAACCCTGGGCAACTGCCTTCTCACTCCAGGAGCCTCAGTTTCCCCACCTGTGCAATGGGGTGAGCAGAAGTTTAGAAGCTGAGGTCCAGAGATACGGGATTTTTTTGTGTGTAACATGCCAGAGTGGGAGACAAAAACAGGACTTAAACCACAGTCACCAGACTCTCAGGTACTATTGCAGGAAGGAGGGAGGCTTATGATCCAGGCCTTCCCTCACTCCTGCTCAGTCTGACTGCCCCTCGGCTGCCCCCTCAGGGCCTGGAGGTGGCGATCCGGAAGAAGATTGAACATGATGTGGTGATGAAAGCCAGCACCAGCCTGCCCAAGAAGCTGGCAGTGCTGAAGGCCCCCCCTACCAAGAAGAAGTAGGCAGCCTCTTCCTCCTCCACTGAGACAAGACACCTTCCTAAGGACACCTGCCTCCGTGCCCCAGCCTCTGCAGTTGACTCCCTGGGCAGTACTGTGGACAGATGGAGCCCTGCTCCCCGGAGCCTTGGGTTGCCGCTCAAACTTTGGACGGGGGTTGGGGGCGGGGGTTGGCCTGGCCTGTGACCAGGTGGTAGCACCGTGGTGCATGGGCAGCTTCCCAGGATGCCGAGAATTCAGCGATGGTCCTAAGGACATGTTCACCAACTTTCTGTGTCCCCCTCCCCCTTCAAATTCTGTGTCCACTGGTTTAACCCAGAACAATAAACTTGGCTTTGTCATTCCTCCCACGGTCACATGTTCCTGTGAACAGGCCCGTGCTGGGACCGTGGACCAGGTACACTGGCCCAGTCAACCCCAGCAATTTCTGCAGCCCAGCCAAATGCTCAGGGAAGGGTGACTGGGCTTCTTCATGTCCATCCTAGTAGCTGATGGAGAGTCTTTACCTCCCTCCAACCCCAGATGGCTCACACCAACCTCCTTACTCACGTGCACACCCTCCCCAGACATGCCCGGTCACCCTGCCCCAACCTGGCACAAGCCAGGAGGCGTAGGGAGCTCTTTTTCCATCTGTAGAATGGTGTTGACACCATCTGGTAGGGTCACAGTCCCAATTCAACCAGAATATACTTACAGCTGCTCAAAGCCACCTCGATCCATAAAAAAGTCAAAATGTCTATTATGCCTATGGTGAAGGCATTGTGCTAGTGCTTCCTGTACATCATTTCATCCCAGAGTGGGTCATGTTACATTCTCGAGACAGTATGGGAACCCACCACTGGCTGAGTCCCAGTGTGTACTGTCAGCGGACCACCTGTTGCCTCTGCAGACCAACATCGTTGCCTGTTCCATCTGGGGTGTCCCCTTCCCCGAGTCTTCACTTGATTGAGGCTGCCAGACTGGACATGCCTGTGGAGTCCGCTGGGAGCTCTGACTTGGTGACTGCCCTTCCCTCCCGCTGTTGGAGGTGAGAGCTCACTGCGGGGTGACGAGGCTGGGCTCAGGGAAACTTCAAAATGGAAGGTCTTTCCATGAGGTTCCAGCTCTGCTGCCACAGCCACTGGTTTTTGAGAGGTAGATTAGGGTTTTTATGCATGAAATTGTTCTTCCTGCTTTTTTATGTGTATGTGTTTAAAACTCACCTATACAATTGACATTTAAAAATAGACAATTCAGAAAAGGGCTCACGGATGTGGACGACAATGTGGTAATAGCTGAGGGGAGAGGAGTAAACAGTAATGGAAAAAATAAAAGGAAGAGTAAATTTTTAAAAAAAAAATACAATTCAGTGGTGTGTTTAGTATATTTGGAATGTTTTTGCTACTACCTGAAACCACCCAAAAGATGACCTGTCCCCACTAGCTGCCACTCCCCATCCCCCCTCCCCACCCCCTACAGTCCCTGGCAACCACTGGTCTGTTTTCTGTCTCTAGGAGTTTATTGAATGAAGGAAGGAATTGTTTCTGCAAAGGAAATTTTGTGTTTCAGTGACTCAATTACCATCACACACCCTCCCGGGCTGTCTGATTCATAGCATTAGTATTTCCTTTGAAAGATTTTACAGCTCTGAGAATTGTAAGCAGCTGATAGCAATACCAAACCACTTTTATCTGTAGACTTGCAGATTCCGGTCCCTCCAACAGAGGTTCCACTGACGACCTTCCTCACCGGTGGCTGGTGGTAAAACCAATTTGCTTCCATATGTACAACATGTAACATCTGCCTGGATCCCACATGAGTTCCAAAAAAAATTGTAACTCTTGTTAATATTTTCTGAGAGAGGAGATTTCATCCTCTTGAAAATTATCTTTTAACTAGTCTCTGGAATCTCCAAAGGGCAGTGGCTGGAACAGGGTGGGCTCCTCTGCTGCCAGGAGGTTCCTCAGGCCCCAGGCTCCAGCCAACCCCACCACCGGGCTCTAGCAGACCAAGGACTCCAGTGAACCGCTTCCTTTGCCCCTCTAAAGCCTAGCCCTTTGAGGAGGGACCCAGGGGCAAGAAAGTTCATTCGTGACGGGTATGGGGTCTGGAATGTCAACCCACTTGTTCCCCTGTTACCCCACCCCCTCAGGTTCCCCAAACAGCCACATTTTCCGTTAAGGTGATTCGGTCCTTTGAGCTGTATACAAACCCCCTATTAATGCTGGAGCCAAGAGCCCCAGACTTCGGAAAACCCCACGCCTTTCATTCTATGCTAGTTTCTGCCACTTTCCTTGTCTGACCTTCAAGTCCCTTCACCTCTGAGCCCGAATTTCCCGTCTATTAGATGGGATCCTAACACTCCCTCAGAATGGAGAACTCTCAGGAGCCTTGAGGCCATGGGGCTTGCAGGGGTAATTACGAGCTGCCCTTGTGTCCCAGGAGGCGGAGCATAGCCCAAATTCCACCTCTAGGTCTGTTCCTCTGGGCCTCTCCCCCAGGGACAAGGGCAGCCCTTAAATGTGGCTTTTCAGGCATAATTACACTTCCCCAAGCCTTGTCCTCTCCTGCCTCTACCTTCCCCCTCTGCCTGAATGCCCATTCTTCCTGGCAGGGCCCTGACACTTTGCCCATGAACTTGTGTTCCAAAAAAAAGTAAAAAAGAATGTAAGAAGCAAATCTTGCCAGCTGGGCAGGCCACAGGGGCTGTGGGGACCAGGAAGTGAAACTGCCCCTGCTGGTTTCCTGCCTGCGTCAACAGGGATGGGGGTGCAGCAGGGGACTGGCGGAGGAAGGGATCCTTCCTCGGAAAATCAGGGTGGGGGTGGCCACAGGGGCGGCGGGGGGGCAGCCAGCGTGTTCCTCCTCAATCTGAGCCCCCAGGGTTGGCCCATTTCCCATGGGTCTCGAAGATATGTGGGTTTGGGGTCAGGAGCTGTGGATGCCTAGACAGTGAGCTCACGGCTGGCTGGTGAGATAAAAGTGACTTCTTTTTCACCGAAGCCCCAGCTCACTAGCTGCATTGGGAAAGGGGGCTACGAGGGTAGTTGGAACCCCCACTTCCCACTTCTTTCCTAAAAGTGTTTCTAGGAAGAGAGCAGACTAGAAATAGGCCTAGTGACTTCCTCCTGGGGGCACCTCCATCTTCCCAAGGGCCTTTGATCTCACGGATTCTCCAAGGATCACTGTGTGGCCTTGAGCAACGTTTTTTAGTCTTTTTTTTTTTAATTGATAGATTTTAGAGAAAGAGAAACACTGATCTGTTGTTCCATTTATATATGCATTCACTGCTTGATTCTTGTACGTGCCCTGCCTGGGAATCAAACCCAAAACCTTGGCTTATCAGTACACAACTCTAACCAACTGAGCTACCCAGCCAGGGTGAGCAACTTTCTGACCTCATTCTCATTTCTGAGCAACATTCTGGGCCTCATTCCCCTTTGTAAAACCAAGGGATCAGAACAGAATCTTGGTGCATGACACACTCTGTGCACTTGATCCCCAGCCAAAGTGACAGGACCAGCCCGCCCATCCAGGCTTGAATCCTGGCCCTGCCCTTTTAGTCTATGGACCTTGGGCAAGTCACCTGACCTCTCTGTGCCTCAGTTTTCTCATCCAGGAGATGGGGATGATGACAATATTATCTATTGTTAGAGAATAAAATAAAACATCTTTTCCCTGTGATAACAGATTCTCAGTTCCTTCTTAACATCCTCTCTTCCACTGGCAGGGAATGACTTCTCTGATTCAGCATCTTGGGACGCCCACTGAAGCATCCTCAAGAATAGGGACTTGGGCTTAGCTGACACAATGACATACCAGATGCTGAAGGGGTGGCCAGGAAGAGCTGGCCCCTGGGTCCTGTTTGCGAGGGGAGCACCTAAAACACGTGATTTGTGGAATTCCTCCTGCCTCTCCCCCACTTCAGTTACTCCTTCCCCATGGGTCTCTCTCTCTCTCTCTCTCTCTCTCTCTCTCTCTCTCTCTCTCTCTCTCAAATCCTTTACGAGAAAGGGATGCTCCAGTAGGTCTAGGGCTTCCCAGTCTGGGTGAGCTCAGGCAAGGACACCCTTTCTCCAAGCCTCAGTTTCTTCACCTGAGAAATGGAAACAACCATCCACTTTGCAGCTCTGTTGGGAGGCTTAAATATCCTACTGTAGCTGAACAGCTGGAGCATTCCCCTATTATTACTGTTTCTGCTGTCATTGTGGCAGGCTCTGGTTTCTCAAGACCACAGCGTTCTAACAGAAATTATAATGCTAGTTGCACGTGTAACTTTAAATGTCCTGATACCACATAGAATGGAACAGAATAGCATAGCACAGAATAGAATGGAATGGAATAGCATAGAATAATAAAATATGAAACAATTTTAATAATGTATTTTACTTAACCCAAATTTATCTAAAATATTATTTCAACATCTCATCAATATAAAAAAATTCTTCATGAGAAATTTCCTTTTTTCCCCTACTAAATCTTTGAAACGCACTGTGTTTTCCAGCACAGCCCAACTCCCACCAGCCCCATTTCAAGGATTCAAAGGCCACTTGTGGCCAGTGGTGACCACACAGGACAGTGCAGGTTAGAGGGAGTTTACTGAATTGCGGGTTGGGGACTGGCCAGGAAATGCTGCTGTGAAACTAAATTCCTGGAAGGTAAAAGCCGGCGTTTCCATATGAAGAGAGGCAGCAATTAGGCCACTTCGGGGCCAGCCTGGGTTTTTCCTGTTTTGTAGATCCGGTCAACAGAATGGGAGCAAGGCATGAGTGGTTCCCTCCACAAGTTAGAGATGGAGCGACTGCTGTGCAGCAGTGCATCAATTAGCCTCTTGGGGCTCATGGTAGAGGAGAGACAGAAATTAAACAATTGCTGAAATAAAGAAATGTAATGATCATGGAGACTGGTGTGGCAAAGGGAAAACAGGATTTTCTAAGGACAAGGGACCGGGGAATGGATAAAGACCATGGCCTATTTTCAGGCCAAAGATGTGGCCTGGAAAAGCTGGGTCAGGACAAATAACCGAAGGTGGTCGTATTTGACATGCATTATGTCGAAACCACGTCGAAACCTTATGAAACTGTCTCTTTAATAGGTAATGGTCGAAAATCAGCAATTTCATATGACTCAACGACATGTTTAGGGCATAGAATGGGTTGGGACTTCCTAGCTTAGGGTCCAAGGATGGGCTTGAATTCGGTTCTATTTCCAGAGAGGAGGTCCGCAGCCGCTAAGAGGACTACCAATGGGCCAGTGACCCTCCCAAAGCACCAAAACGACCCGGCACCCACTGAGGCTGAGAGGAGCTCGCATCACACAGCTCAGAGGAAAGAGGTGCTGAGCTGCTGCCCGGGGATTCTGCCGCTCTGTCTCGCTCCCTGGCCGAGCCGTGTTGATTGTCCCCTTGCCGCGCCCGGAAGCGACCCTCAGTAAACAAAGCCGTGTGTGGGCGCAGCTCCAGCTGCCCCGGACGCCCTGTCCAACCCGAGGGAGGCGGGGGAGGAATGTTGTGAATGAACTTAAGGCCCGCCCCGAAACTCCGCATAAGGCTTGAGCTGCTGGGGGTCCTCCCACTCTGATTGGCTTTCGGCGCCCACTGATTGACAGCGCCGCTCGCTGAACGTTCTCATTGGGCCTCTCTAGAAAGACAGGCTACGCATTTAACGAATGAGCAGCGACGACTTGAAGACGGTCCGACAGTGCCGCCAATGGCAGAAGAGGGCCTCGGAGGCCGACGTTGGGGGGGCCAATAGGGACGGGCAGCGGGGGAGGTACGAGGCGGAGGATAAAGCGGCGGCCGAAGCAGCTTCATTGTTGTGAAGAGTCTTAAAGGGGCCGCATCACCCGGCTGGCCCGACTCAGGGCCGGGGTGGGAGCGGCGGGGGTCCGGGGACGGCCCACTGTGGAGAAAGGACGGGAAGGCGGGTAGGCGTCGCGGGAGCCGGCGAAGCCGAGCGGACATCGGACCGACCCCCCCCAACAGGCCCCGCCCCGGCCCCAGCCGGATGGACCCCCCCGCGGCCAAGCGGAGCCGGGGCTGCCCCGCGGGACCGGAGGAGCGCGATGCCGGGGCCGGGGCCGTGCGCGGCCGGGGACGGCCCGAGGCGCTACTGGACCTCAGCGCCAAGCGAGTAGCCGAGAGTTGGGCCTTCGAGCAGGTGACCGAATGGGGGAGGGGGAGGGACGCACCCCCAGCCCCTTTCCCGGTAGGCCTTCTCGTCCCCCTTGCCCATCCCCCAGCCTCTGGACAGCCCTCATCCGAGAGGAATCTCCAAGATCCTTAACCCTGCCCCGAGGCACCCTCTTATCCTCCCATTTCACTCCTTC